CTGATAATTGTGGTCAACTTCCAATCTTGTTTTTTACTACTTCTTATACTTTTTGATTGGCTGCAATTCACAGTGATATGAAGGAGTAAAAAGTAATTGGTGACCAAATTTTTGGTAATAATAACAGAACCAAAAGATATAAATTTTTTATTTTTTTTAATTAACTCATATAACTCGATTTTGTTATATGTTTGTCAAATTGAATATTTTTGGTCTCTAACCATTCAATCATTGCAGACTTATTCCAATTAGAAGTTGGCATATTTTCATTACAATGTTTGTGATACCTTACACCATCTATATGGATAATGCAAGGACCATAATTAGAAAAGAGATCTGCAAATAATTTTTCAAAATTTTTTTCAAATAATTCTGCATTGAAATTTTTATGATAATCAACTTTATCTGGAACAATATCGGCTGTCTTTACAGCATCTGAAACTACTTCTCATGCCTCTGTATTTTTTTTTTTCCTTCCTTTTCCAGTTCTTGGTTTTGCAAAAGGATCCCAAATAAGAAGAGACTGAGAAACTAACTTATCTTTTATTTAATTATCTATTCCATTCTAAAAAACAATAATTGTATCAAAAATAACAAGCATTGGTCACCTTCTTTTTTTACAAACTACTCCATCTTTTAGAAGCCAGGTTAAACTCTAATTATGTTGCATATAACAATAGGACTCATCAAGAAAAACCTCTGAAAGATCTGGTATGTTATTTTTATTATGAAAGTTTTCAAATCATTAACAAAGATAATGTGCCCTATAAGCTATATTTTGAAGAAACTCATGTAATATATTTTGGCACTCATCTTTTCTATAATAATAGCCAAGATTTTTTAAATCATATGAAAGTTGTGCTTTTGAAATAAAAAAGTTTAACTCTGATAATTCGAAGAGTATCATTTGTAAGGTAAGTTGAAGACTACTCTGATTTGCAGAAGAAATAATATTATATATGGCATTTGCATAATCTGCTGAAAATTTTTGAGAGGGCCACTAGTCTTGTTTTGATAATTAAACTCTTCTGTTTTATTAAATTTAGCAAGAACTCATGAAATAGTTTTTTTACTAACACCTGTTGCTAAAAAAACTTCTTTGTAAAGACTAAATTTTTGGTGCAACTATTTAATAATTTGATTATTTTTTTGAAGATAGTGATAAATAGATACGATTATAGCCTTCTCATTAGAAGTTAGAGCACTAAGTTTACATTGGTTTTGGTTCATTATACATTTTAGAATGAGTAAGCATTAGCTTAAATAATGTGTTTAAATATTTGAATTATTTACTAATATATGAATACTAATCTTAATATATACCAAACTCAGTTTTTGTCAAGTAAATTAATTAAAACTCACTAATCCTAGATAAATTCTATTTATCATAAAAGTTTTTATAAAAATAAATAAAATTTTTATTATTAGATTAGCTATTTAAATATTGATAAAAGATAAAAATTTTTTTTAAAAAAAAATTTGTAATCATTAAGCTGACTATATAATAATCAAATTTTATTTAATTTTTATGAAAATTTCAGTATAAGTAGAATAGCATTTCATAAATAAGTCTACTTAGTATGATTTAATCAGTTTGTTTAGTATAAAATCATGTTTTTCATATTATAAAGTTTTAAGTTTAATAACTTCAGGTAATCATCACTAATTAAAGAAATTAATGCACATCAATTGCTGTAATATTACAAATTATACTGTATATTAAATATACGATATTAATAACTATCTATTTTTATAAAATATTAAGCTATATACTTGCGTATTTTTACTTCACAATGATGCATTTTAAATAACTTGTTTATATTAAAATTACAATCGACATAAAAATTATTTGTTTTATAATTGTTAAATAAATAACTTTGATTAGCTAAAACTTGTTATCAAACAGTTATAATAGCTTGCAATTTTGTAGATTTAATAGCTAAAAGTTTAATTATTATTATCTAGTATTTGTAAATATGGTTATTTTTTTTATAAAAAAAAATAATTTATTATAAATATTTTATATATTATATTTTGGGCCAGAAGTAATGAAATTACCTATAATTTTATATAAAGTACAATCAAGTAATAGACAAATATTTAGATTATTATATTTTAAGCTTGATAGTTTATATAAATTGCAAATTGTACTATGTAATTAATATCTGTTAATATAATATATATCATTATAATTAGTTTATATAGATTTTTATTATTTATTTTTAATATATTGTAAAATAATATTATCTTTTTTCTATAGTATTAGTTTTGTTTTTTTTTATAATTAAAGTTACTGTTTTTGAAAAACAATTTTTATTCAAGTTAATAAATCATAAATGTCTTTAGAAGCTTCTTTACATTAAAGGTTACAACTAGCTATATATGTACTTTTGATGTTTAATTTAAATAGTTTGCTTATATATTACTATATAAGTTCTATACTAGATATTATACTTGCAAGCTAGCTAAAGGTCTTGCCTATTTAAATTCTCTGCATATGCAATCTATCTTGTATTATAAGAACATTTTTAAAATGCTATCTATTTAAGTTTCTGATTCTTATTAATATTCTTAAAACTAATTTATCTTTAACAAAAAACTTACTAAAGTCTTTATATTTTATATATACTAATCTAGTTTTATACAATATACTATAGTTATCTAATATTTGCAATTATAGAAGTTACCTGTTTAACTACTATATTACACTATTTCTATCTTTGTAAAGTTCACTAGAACTCTAATACCTCACTTGCCTAGTATTTGCTTCTTATATTGAACCTACAAGACTTCTTTAATTACCAATTTAAAATAATATTCTAAGATCCTTTTCTTTCAATAATTCTTAGCAGCCTGGTTGGTATATGCTTCTCTATATATATTGTTATTCAATTTATTTTAGCTGTTTTTTTGAACCTATGAAACTTTCTAAACTTCCAATTTAGATGACCTAATATAGTATCTTAGAGTTTTTCTAAATTGTCATTCAATGTATTTTAGTTATTTCTTCTGAAACTTTTGTTAGTCCAGTAATATTATTGAAAGTTCATGTTACCTCTTTACTTAAGATTTCCAAATAGGTTTTTATGCTTTAGTTTCTTAGTACTATATGTCTAATAGTCTTATTATAAGTTTGCACTAAAGTCTTATATGATATTAGTTATTTAATATTTTTCTATATATATGTAATATTACACTTTGTGTAATGTCTTAAGCTCTTATTTAAGATGGTATTTCTAAGATTACAGATTATCTCTTTAATTTAACTGATTTACAAAGCACAGTTATTATAACATAGGTTAATTTTCAAATTTTATTGTAAATAGAATTTGAACCTTAGACTTGCTACTTGAAAAATGACAACCTGACTACTATATTAGAATCATCATCTTTTATTGTATTAGTTTAGTTTTTTTTTTAAATATTAATGGTATTGTATTAGTTTTGTACAATATAGCTTCTATAATTGTTTATAAACTTTTTGAAACAGCTTATATAAAAGTTTTATAATAATATTTTTTGCTTTTGTTTGTAATAGTCTAATTGATAAAATAAGACTAATAAATATATATCTTTGTAATTTTGTATATATATTAGTTTGTTATAAAATTATATTACTAAAAGAAAGACTGTTGTATTGGGTAAGTATTTTTTGTAACTTATTAAATTAAATTTTAGTAATATCAGTTATATAAATATTTGTTTTTGTAAGAGTTTCTTTAATAAGATTAGTAAAAAATATAGAATTTAAATAAAGTATCTAATGTAATAAATATTTTGATATGTAGCATATAATATAACTATTATTAGTTATTATTTCTAAATATAGATTATAAAGATAAAAAAGAGTAGATAATATATTAAATTGTAGTTTAATTTTAAAAAATTTGTTATTGCTAAGTATAAAGTTTGTATATAAGCTAGTTTATTTGTTATTTAAGTATAATCAGATTTCTTTTTAGTTAATTTTTAAAGATAAAAAAATAATGTATAGTTATTTGGCATGATGTAATAATTGCATTGTAATCTGTATGATCATGATTTTATTATTACATATAACAAATAACAAAAAGTATTTTGTATAAAATTTGATTGAGACATGTTTGGACCCTGCAGGGGCCCAAACATTAACTGGTCAAATTCTACACAAAATATATCAGTTATTGGTGCAGAGTGTTCAATAACAGTATTATCTGATATTCTATAGTAATTAGAAATTAAATTTAATAAACAATAGTAAATTAAACTTTAAATTAATAACATTTATATACTATGTATTAGTGATATTAAAGTTACAGTTTCTTTTTTTTAAAAAAAAATTGTAATATAGTTTAATTTTATATAAATATTACATTTGTTCATGCTTCTTTTTTATTCTTTTTCTTCCTTTTTTCTCTTATATAATTGTGTTTTAAGTTAGTATAAAAAAAAATGCTAAAAAATACAAATAAAAAAACTATTTATCATAAATTCACAAATAAGAAAATTAATGAAATTATCAAAGATACTATCACTAAAAATACTCACAAAACAACTGCTAAGTAGGTAGGAATCTTGAAAGCCTGGCACTCTGAAGTCAAATATAATTATAGTGTTAAAACTATTATAAATAAAAATTAACTCAAATATAAAATGATCAAATTTATACTTGATATTCGTAAAGTTTATAATCAAGGAGAATATTCATTTTCTTTACTAATGAACTGTATTAGACTTTTAAGCATCTACATTTTAAAGTACCCTAAAGCAGCAGCAAAAAATAATATAGGTAATAAGAAATTATTTGCTAAATTATAAAGCATGTTGAATGAAAAATTAAAACAACTAAAAAAAAATAGTATTGTGTTATAACACTACAACCACCTGACAGATAAGAGTTAAAAATGATTTTTCAACATAACACAGTTTCTAATGACATATCACAAGAGTTACTTTATAGAATTTTTATATGGTGTTGTCTTTTATTTCAACCCCATAATGGCTAATATTACAAAATATCTATGTCACAATTTACTTTTACATCTAATGAAGGTATCCACTTTGTAAAAAATCATCAAAAGAATAATCAAGGCAGAATTGATAAAAATTCTGATGCTCATATTATTCCTGTGCCTTCAGATCCTGAAGGTAGTCAAGTAATAGTTTATAATTTTAAGCTCTATTTTTCTAAAAGACCAACTTCTTTTAATTGCATATTGCTTTACTTAAAAATTAATAATAAGATAAAAGGTATTATATATTATATTATTGGTTTTTTTTTTTATTTTTTATTAACTTTATTTAGATCTTCAAATGAACCAGTAGTATTATAATACACAATTGAGTAAGAAAGTTTGTCGAGCACTTCTAAAAACTATTTGTATCACTGTCGGTATTAGTGTAAAGGGCCATAATATTGTCAATCATTCTGGTAGATCTATGCCTATTATATTCTTATTTCAAAAAAGAATTCTTATAGTTACAACTATAGTATTAACTAGGCATAAAAGTAAATCATCATATTGCATTTATGCTCATCTATCTGAAAAACAAAAAAAAGATATGCTTTTACTGCTAATTAACAATATTGAAAAGTTGCTACCTTTAAGTAATTTAAATAATTTAAAAACTTCAAATAACTCAGAAGTTTCAAATAAATCAGAAGTCTCAAATGAATCAGAAGCCTTAAATAAATCAGAAGCCTTAAATAAATCGAAGGCCTCAAATGATGCAAAAGTTTCAAGATGTATATTAAAGATATATACTTATTTATTTTTTTATTACTATTGTTATTTTAATGGTTATTTATTTATTTGTTTGTTTTTTGAGAAATCTATAATAAAATAAAGTTCAAGTTGTCCTGTCTACTCTACATTATCAATAGTCTTATTATTCAAGTCTTTTGTTTTTAGACTATTTTGTGTACCATTTTAAGATTCATCTAAAATAAACTTATCATTGCACTTAAATATGTCTAAAAAAAATTACACACTTGGTGGTCAACAAGTTTTTTGTAAAACTTCCAAGATGGATAATCCTAATAAGCAAGAAATGATTAGTAAAACTATGATCATCAAAAATTACTATATCATAGCTAAAAATATTACTATTAACTAGAAATATATATTTAAATTGATGTAAATTTGATAATTTTATTATTAAATTAAATTAAGTAACTATACAATTTTAAAGGCTTTCAGGCCTAATACAGCAGTTTAATACTTGTTTTTAATAAAAAAAA